GTAAAAAGTACATTTCTCTTTAAATAATAATTAAACCTTCAACAAATTAATTTTCTACAAGCAAAGTAGTACTAATGATATAATCAATTATATGTATAGACTATTATTTTAAAATTATAAAAATAGTTTTTTTTATTCATTTTCCTTTAGCTAATATATTAATACTAATGATTATATCGACATTATTCTCTCTACATAAATTAAATAGATTTATTTTTTACTATATATATATATATTTAAATTTGTAACAAAGTTTTAACCTTACAATGTGAAAATATCAACAAAATCAGATTATATCATTTACACAACAAAATATTGAAAAAAATGTATATAGATTTGCATACCAATTTTTATATCATTTGTTATATTATATTATGAATAATTTTTATTTTTTGTAAAAAGTACATTTCTCTTTAAATAATAATTAAACCTTCAACAAATTAACTTTCTACAAGCAAAGTAGTACTAATGATATAATCAATTATATGTATAAGATATCATTTTAGAATTATAAAAATAGTTTTTTTCGTTTATTTTCCTATAACTAATATATTAATACTAATGATTATACCGATATTAATCTCTCTACATAAATTAAATAGATTTATTATTTGATTATCTATATGTATATATTTATGTGTAGGATTTATTATTTATAAATTAAAATTTAAAAATATAAATACAAATTATTAATAAAGTTTTAAACTTACAATGTGAAAATATCAACAAAATGATAATTTGTTATTAGGTAAATTTTATTTCATTCAATTACAATACAATTTTATGTTAGTAAAATAAAGTTATAACATAAATATCAGATTATCGACTATAATTAATTAATTATAAATTATAAGTTTTTCGTAAATTATTGTTAATTGTTTGTAAAAAAATTATGAACGTTATATTATTTTTTGAATTATATAAAAGAAAAGTTATATGCTTTACCACGTTTTCCATGATATATTAAACATAATTTTTTTTCACTGCTATTAAAATGCTCTATTTCTTCATCGGAAAGAAATATAGATTTTGGTAGACATAACTGGCAACCATTTTCCAATCGTGCAATTATGGTGTGTCCATATCTGGTTTCAACAGCTCTCAGCTGTGTTACTGGATATGGACGATCCAATTGTAATGATGACATAGAGACATATTCATTTTTAGCTTGTGATTTAAGTTTTTTTACAACATCCATTTTACTAAAAAAAATTTTTTATTTAACAGAGTAAAAATTCTATTTAAATACATACAAAACATATTTCGATATTTTATTATTTTTTTCATAACTAAAAATGTTGAACTAAAGATCTTATATCAATATTATTTACTCTTGTATTTTTAATTTGTTGTAAATTAATTTTATATGTGGTAAGATTTTCAAAATAGTTAACATCAATCATAAGGTATGTACAGCGAATATTACATTCGGAACATAATATTGTTTTAGCTAATTCTTGCACATCCCTAGCATGTTGAATTAATATAAATTCTTCAACTTTAAAATAATCACGATTATAAAAAAGGATATTGTTACATTGGAAATTTCCGCAACTAATGATGTTGTCTATTTCACTGTAAAAAACTAAAACAGGATAACCTCTTTTGAGGTTATGTATTATCCTAAATTTTTCTAATATATCAATTCTAAACATATCAGGGTATTTGCATATATTCCGATAATTTCGAGATTCACTTTCGACTAAAAGTTCAATAGTAGGTTCTGGTAGAAAATCGAATGGTACAAAAGGATTTTGCGGCATGATAACTAAAATAAAATAATAATAACTTTATTTAGAAAAAAATATCTAGACTTGTTTACCGTTATTCAATAATTATGATAAAACGAATTTTTATTTATAGAAAAATAACTTTTTACGCCAAATAAATTATTAGTAAAAAAATTAAATTTTACTCTTGGTTAATAATCAACTTATAATACTAAAATAACAATTTAAAGAACTTACATTATTTATTTATTCCTCAAAATGCAGTTGATGCAACAAGTATTCGTTACAGTATAAGTTTTCCGTTCGTCGAAATGCAATTGAAACAGCAAGTAATCGCTAGTGGATATAAAATCTGAAATAATTAGCATTTTATTATAATATTCTTTGTAAATTAAGACTATAAAATGTTATAATGTAAATTTATATAATATGAATTCCAATAAGTTTGCAAAAATAAAAAACATTTGAGTTCAATTAATTTGATATTATAAAACTTTTATTTTTTTAAATCTATTAAGACATTAAAAATAGTATATATATATATATATATATAATTACAATAATTAATTTTATACTTACAGTTTAATTTTTATCAAACGAAAAATGTAACTACAACAAATTTCTTTGCGCAAAATCTGGTTGTTAGAACAAACTACTACACTTTTATAATTCTTTCGAATGAATAAACAGATCCAAGACTTTATATACTTGCATTGATTAAAAAAATGCAATGAAATTTAATTTATGATATGTTCTTCTGTGTTAATGATGAAAATGACAGTTGATCGTCTAATTACTTTTGAAATAGATAATATATTACATTTATGTCTCGTTTTCGCGCATGTTAAGTTCCATGGAATTTNTAAACACTATCTACAGATTTGCATCGAAGCGTTTCTTATGATAGTGATTTTAATCACTGTCAGATTAAATCTATACTGGACCCTACTATGCAATGTCTCTACTATGCCGCGACCCCACTGTGCTACCGTTTTTCTTATTATTTAACTACCATTCAACTTACAATAGTAAAAAATAATTTAAAAGAACATTGGGTATATTTAATATAATATATTAATTATTTATAATATATAAATTATTTATATATAATATTTATTATATATAAATTCAGTTCATTATTAACCGTCGACTTTCCAATTCAACCGACTTATCATGCAATATTTCATATTAATTAAATTAAATTTAACTATAAATTTATTATTTATTTTTTAATTAGTACAGTTTTTTTTTATAATGAAATGTACTTATTTAAGAATGTTTTTTGCTAAACATCTCATAATAAGAAAACTGGAACAGTCATTATTATTATTATATATATTGTTGACAAAAAAATACTGATTTATTGTTCACTATACGAATAATGGTCAAGCGCAGTTCATTAACTCATATATTAACGATTAACATTCGATAAAAATGACAGCATCGTCGCNGTGTAACTATTGAGGGTATGTATTGAGAATCAAAAATTTTAACAGAAGAAAAAAGGGATCAAACTATTGAATGATTAAAAGTTTTAACTAAAAATTAGCTTAACCATCTTATAGGTAAAAATCAGGGTTTGAGGCCCATTATCTCATAAAATTATTAATTAGTAATAACCTACTACTTTTCCATAATGTTGGAACCTCGTACCCAAGCGTGTAAAACATAAGTTTTACCAACTCGGCAACCGTACGTTGCTATCGACCGATGAAAAAATTGGTTATTTAAGCTAGTTCAAATTTCCAAGTTATTTTTCTCGACTTAAAAGAAGCAAACAAATTTAAATAAGTTTAACTTTCTATGCAATATTAATTTTAATTTATATAATATTTATGAAAATCTGTACTCCCCTTGTCAGGTATTTTAAAATATTATAAAATACAAAACCCAGAATTTTAACAAAAAAATAGCAAATTTTTGAATTCGGTAGTCATTTTTACCATGAAGACAAATCCAGCGGTCGAATTTTTTTTTCAAATTAAAGTATATTACATAAGCTTTAATTTAATA